CGGGTCTTAGGATTTTCCCTGCAGTCGCCAAGTTCAGAATATAATAAATTTATTCCTTTCCTTTGCACCATACTGTATACGTAAAATCGCGATAAATCGCACAGTTTTCTTTTTGCGGTTGTAATGATTTCTATTTCAGCCATTTTAGGTAGGTTCGTATGACTAATATGAAGCAGGCTGTGCCACTTGGATTTCAAAAGCTCGGTACTGTAATAAATTATCTTAGGGGTTCCTCATCAGACAATAAACATGTTGGCTTACCATATACTTACAATTTGCAACTCTGGGGAAAAACTACAAACAAAACCATCTAACTTTAAAGTCGACACGACAGACGTTTCGAGGCACTTTTGAATCTCGGTAGCAATCGCTTGATATAGATGGCACGAATAAACTCCCACGTTGTGTAATCGGTTCTTTTATGTTTTTGGACGTGAAACATGATCGGGAAGGATATTAAATAAAATGTATGTGTGCGTAAGTAAAAGACCAGAACAAATAAATATATTACGCACACCACAAGGCGATACCAGGAAAACCTTCTGCAGGACAAAAACCCCGGCATAGCCCACACAAATACATGAAATAACACAACTACGGCAACAAAATGCAAGAGAATATACAGAAATAAAACATCACAAATTGTACAAATAAATCAGGTAACCAAATCGAATGCAGATTCATAAAAACAACACACGTGCAAGTAAAAAATGATAAATCAATTTAGTATAAAAACAGATTAAAACACATGTACAATCAATCGAGATAAAACAACTCATGAAACGATAAACTGCATGAACAAAAAAATGACGCATCAAAAGCACAGCTCTACTCTAAGCATCGACTTGAATTAATTTAACACGGAAGTACAAGCATCTACAGAGGCATAGTCCTGGTGTCGTGCATTCCAAAGTATGATATTTGGTAGAGATGTTCTACAGACCATGGGGAATAATTCCTGATATGGAGCCACCTCAATTTTTTCCGTAGGGACCCTATCGGAAGTAATAAACTGGAAGTAATGCGAACTTATGGAAAACGCACTGTAGCGTCTATATTGTTGGAGATAACAAGATTAGTATTTTTGTGAAAAATGTTAGAAATGATCAGATCCACAAATTGATATTAAACATGATCGGAAGTGATCTTTAAAACAACCGAAAGTAATACAGTTTTGTTGAAAATGTCGTCCATTGTCGGAGGTAACGATGTAGAGTAGGTAGTATAATCTGTTTGTAATTATTGGATCCACAATTGGCGTACGGCCTGACCGGAAGTTCAATTCCGTGCAACCGGAACTGAAATTCCCTGCAACCGGTGGTGGAAATTGATATAATCCATCAATATTTTACACAAAAAGTGTAACACATATTCTATGCAAGTAATAAATTTACAGTTCCTTGTGCAGGACCCAAAGCAGCGGCAATGGATAAATTCTAAACAATTCTCTGAGGTCTCAGGTAACAGTGCATTTCCAATAAAATTGTATTACTTCCGGTTGCTGTATCAATTTGTAGATTTCATCAGTTCTAACATTTTTCATAGAACACTAATTTGTTATCTCTATAATGACATACAGTGCGTTTTCTATAACTATGTATTAATTCCGGTTTATCACTTCTGTTAGGATCCCCACGAAAAAAATTAGCTCAATATCTAGAAATGATCTCCATGGTTTAGAGTACCTACATCTCTCCAAAATTTCATGCATTCTTCACGAAATGCGCGATTCTGCCAGTTTGGGGTCTAGGACAATGGGGGTTTACAGTGTAGTTGAATTCCGCAGTTCTAATTTAATAAGCGTGTAGCTGAAACTATAAAACATTTTTTTGGACAGTAAAAGTTTATTTAAAAATAGAGGCTGATTAGCAAAAAAATAATGAACATGTGCGGTTTTAAAGGTTTATTCAAAACGATATGATTGTGGCGGGCTCTGTGACGTAATAAGCCCGACCAATCAGCTCCTAGAACCATTCAGATGACATAACGACTTGGCAATATTGCAGGAGAATGGCATTTATAACTTGCGTCATCTGTCACAGGCACTTGTCACTTTCGTGCTAGATGCAGTTAAACATCCCTCTCAAAACGTCAAATGTGACAAACGTCAGACCCTCGCGTAAGGTTGCCAGCTCACTTCTACGTGATTGGTTGTAGGTTTGTGACGTATTTAGTCTGAAGCGTTTCAAATTCGGACTAAAAACACAGCTTTTCAATAATTTATTTTGGGTTTATTTTACTCGCAAATAAAAATTGAGGACACACGGGTCTTTTTATTTTTAATGTACTTTGTAGATCAGAAATAAAAAATGAAGGCGGGATGAGCCCATTGCCCGAAAACAATTTCCCGAAAGACAATTCCCCGAAAACAGTTTCCCGAATGGACAATTGCCCGAATGGAAAATTTCCCGAAACACAATTGATCGAAGATTGAAGAACAATTGACGAAAGGAGAATTGACCGAAAATTGTATTTTATCACAACTTTATAAATTTAATAAGTCCCTACATCCCATTAGTCTTAACACTATAATGGTTTCAAATGCCTCCACAACATCTGCAGTAGGAACGAATGCTAAGGCTGACAGTAATCGGAGCTTTAAAGCAAAATCTGCATCAGTTTCGTACCTTCTTTTTAAACCGTCTGACTGAATTCAATAAGTGACGTTAATTAATTATTATAGTATTAAGACTAATGGGATGTACTTATTAAATTTATAAAGTTGTGATAAAATACAATTCTCGGTTAATTCTCCTTTCGGGCAATTGCCTATTCGGTCAATTGTGAATTGTCCATTCGATCAATTGTGTTTCGGGCAATTGTCCATTCGGGCAACTGATTTCGGGGAATTGTCTTTCGGGAAATTGTTTTCGGGCAATTGTCCAGGAAGGTATTTTTTTTTACTTATGGCGCATTACTAAAGTGACAAATGCCAGCAACAGGTATTTAAGTGAAAGTAGATCATCACAGATACAAACACACATATTAAAACAGAAGAAAAGTTAATTAGAGGGCATCCCTTCTCGTATTGCTAAACACAAGTTTTGCAGCCTGCACGAAATGAAAAACGAAACATATACAACGACAAATGCGGTGCTTTTTTTCACGGAAATAATTGGTTAGATCAAACATCCAGGGCGACATCACACTGATAATCCACTCACACGTGAACATGTAAAGAAATACTTAAAGAAACAATATAAAGGCATAATAACCTGTACAGTATGACAAACAAACATGATTCAGTAACGATACATACCTAAACAAAATGTTGAAGTATGACCGAATTTGATATCAGCATTTTATGCATACCTTACAAATAAGAAATAACCGTCCAACTCCGCTAATACAGGATATGCGAGTTCGAATTCCGAAGTTGTGGGGAAGAGTCAATTTTCGCATGTATGCGGACGCGTCTATCGTTTTTAAATATATGCGGCCGGAGCAACAAAAATAGTCCGAACCGTAGTTTTTATTTTTTATTTAAAAAAAACTGTTTTTGCATAACACTTCTAAAAAATTGTTATCGTGGAAATCGATAAACTTCGCGCTCTCTCTCTCTCTTAAAAATGGTCGCACATGCGCAAATAGACTGTCGACGGCAGTTTCTTTGAATGTAACGCGTCTTTAGGAAGTCATTGACGAGTGAAGTAATTAGTGTAGGTATGACATGTGCTCTGCGCGTAGGAATTTTTATCGATTTTTTCGATGCCGGTAAAATGTATATTCAAATTTCAAATTTTCAAAAACTAAGTTTGGATTCGTTACTTAAAATTAAAATTCGTTTGTTCACAGATATACAATGATTAAAAAACTGGCATCACTTAAATAATGAGTACTGCGTATACAGGGTGTTTCAGATGCAGTAGGATTACACGTTATTATTGAAGATTTTTTTTAAATTTTTATTGCATATTGTCCCAGATGAACAATAAGTAAATTTTGTAATAAATAGCGCACTAAATTAACTAAAACACGCCGAGAGCAATCCACTGAAAACTCTCTTAATTATTGAAGATAAAGAAAAATTTAAAGAACCGGTCCGATTAAAAGTTATAATAATGACTCCATAGTTATCTACAAGTTATAAAAAAAAGTTGAATGTCAAAATGAAATTCAGACGGCCATTACAGGCATAACTTTCTTTTTTTTAAATGGGTACCATATTGGATTTTCGCATTTTCGCAAGAAAACTTTTCTCTTTTTGATTATGTAAGATATTAATTATTTTTGCCTGTAAACCAAGTAAGCTAATCTAATTTTTTTAGTCGTTTATCTTTCGTCGTTAAATAAAGAATAAAGAAATATTTTTTAGTCATCTAAAAATTAAGTACGCGCCAACAGTTTTTAATAGGCGAAATATGTTTAGTCTTCATTTAACAATGAAGGGTCAAAGAATGATTAATTAAAAACTTGACCAATAGTCTTGATAAGCAAAAGTAAGCCTAACGAATTATGCACTTTACTCAGTCATGAGATACCTATATCTTACATCGTTGAGAAGAGAATAAAAGGCTCTCTTTAATCATGTAAAAATCCAACATTGCACTCATTCAAAAAAAGGAAGTTGATATTCATACGTCGGTAACCGCCATCTTCAATGTTAGTTGGACATTATTTTATTTCGAAGTGCGAAACTTTCATATTAACCTTTTTTGTGTAACTTTGATAATTATAGAGATATTTAATCTTTAAACTGCGTATTTCAGGTTTTTTTTAAATAACTTTTATTATTTTTTGTACCTATCCGTTCACATTTGTAAGCAGTAAAAATTCATTTGCAAAATTCATTTCTAATTCCGCACCCCAAAAAACCGCAATTTGGAGAGGTAGCGACTATTGGAATGTTTTCCGTGTGAAAGTACCTACCTACCATATTTTACTGACCTAGGGGAGTTTTCGGCGAGATTTGAGTCAAATGAAGTCCAGCCAGTGCGAATGTTCGCTGATTTGAATAAGGTGCGAACGACAACATTCTAATTGCGTAAATTCAGCCAATTATGCACAAACAAGTAACCCAATAGGTATGTGTTAATGAAATTAGCCATAAAAACTACAGTACCTACTGCCGGAGTCTGTTTTTGTACCTACCTTTTGCATCAACTATCAACTTGTCTTTTATATTTTGTTTGCTGCTTTCTTACCTTATAAATCTTTTCTAATAAGTACTTTCTTTTGTTTGCAGGTGTTTGTGTACGAACGCACGGTTTATCGTGAGATAAAGGAGAGATTAAAAACGCACGGAATATCAAACCTGAGTTCCGTTGAATTATCAAACTTCTTTAGTCCATGGTACGCCCAGCACATGGGAAAAATCAAGGTGGCAAGCGGAAACAAGACGGTGGAAAGTTGGTGTCACACGAAGCTGCGCGTTCACTACTACATATTCTCATATCCCAGTCTTTTAAAGATACATTCCAATCCGCAATTGTTGAGCGTCTTAAATGGTCTCTTGCAAAATGAAGCACTACTTCAACTCGACATGCGTTCGTTAGCACCTGCGTTTAAGGATCCGGAAAAGCAGCAGTGGTTCGAAGAGGTACTGGACAATTATTTAAAATTATGGGAAGTCAATTTGTGACGGGAAGTGATGGCATTCAGTGATTGCGTATTTCCAGTGGATGTGATAACCGAGTGTGATAAACTTGACGCCTACTTGTTAAGGACATATAATCACGATACTCAGGATTAGAAAAGAAAAACAATTTTGTATAAAATAAAGCGATTTATGTCTTCGAGAGAAGAGAAGGGTTTAGAAATACAACTTACAAATTTCCGACATGTTTTTTTTAATTAATTGGTCCACTATACTAAGTAAAGTTAAAAAATAATCAGACATTATAAAGTTAATCACAGAATTTTAAGTAGCGATCCGGTCACTGTACGATTAGTCGAAGATCAGGTGAATTTCTTAAATATTGACATTTGAACACAAGCTTGTGTGTCTTTCCCTAGTTTTTTGCCGTTTACCACCATTACTCGAGGGGTCTCGACGCGAATAAGGCGAAATTTGAACCTCTGCAAAAAAAGTGTTCAGATGACAATCCTTGGAGCATATTTGACTGTCAAATATCTACCTTATTGCCGTATTTAAAATCTACATCAGTGACGTACGGTTCGGGAATAGCCACCGAATCGCCAATGATCACTCCTCGACTTTCAGCCAAATTAAAAACGGTGACGGCGAGACAAGTTCCTAACTTACTGACCAAACAGAATGTACTAAAAATGATTAGTTGTTAATACCAAAAAAAAAGCCATTATATAATTTATAATTGTACATAGTTACTATTTATAAATGTACTCTCACTGTAAAAATGATCAATGTGTATATATATAGAAATTAATATTTAGTAAAGAGTGTAACTTACAAAGGTACTCCGTCTTCATTGTAGACAGAACAAACTACTTTTCCCAGAATGACCTTTTCCTCATTTAATCCCTCTTGTAGATCTTCGAATTCGATGTGTTCCAATTTGACGGTGGTCCGTCCGCTGAGTGACGTATAAGATCCGCCACCATATGGTCCTAGTTGTTTGGCATCTATGGACTATTCAAAAGGGTTAATAATGCACTAAGTATATGGAGCTTTAAATTCTTATCAATTTCAGGGATACTAATATTAATACAATTGGTATGAGAGTTCTACTGAATAAATTTCCTAGTAGATGAAAAGACCTGCTCCGATGTAAATATGTCTACTAAAAACATATCACTTATTTATCATTTATTTATATTCATGTGACACCAAAAAGTCAAAAGCTGTCCATTATTTGCATCCCAAAATAAAAGGCTAAAAGTAATTAACCTGCCTGTGTAATTTGCTGTAATCGCTTAGCTTTCATTCTACCGGAGTTATTGACGAAATCCGTAACTTGCTCCAAATATTTTTCCAACTGAGTGGTTTGGACTTTCGGCGGATCCCAGCCTGGCTCGTACGATGACGCAATATTGAAAGAGTTCAAGGCCATTTCGAATTCTTCCTGGTACTTCAAGGTCTGCAAAACAATTTCTACAAAATAATCGATTAAATCGAACTAAAAGCCTTACAATCGCTTTGTTGTAGTGTAAATCTGGATTACTTTTGGCAGCAATGTCTTTTTCCTGCAAAAAACTGTGATTAGCATCAGTACAGCAGGGGGCAAGAACTCACTGCGTGTATATATGCGTTCAAGCATAACTTTAATGTCTTAGGAGACTGTGATAAGCCGAAAAATGATGATAAATGTGCATTTCCTAGAATAATCCACGAGAGGCCATCATTCGGATCAAGTTGCACGGCCTCCTTAGCCAAAGATAAACCATACTCGACAATTTTTCGTTTTTCCTCTGCGTTTGCAACTGATTTCTGTCTAGATGTCATTGATAAATTCCTAAGAGACACTTTATTCTTACCCTAAACAACACTTATTAGCATAGACAAAGGACACAAAAACCGGTTACATTATTTAAAGCTCCATTAAAACAGTTTTCCGCTTCCTTAATATTGTCATTTTTCCAATAGCATTCGCCTAATTCGTTCCACGCCTCCACTAGTTTTGGATCTAATTTTACAGCCTTGGACAGGAAATCTTCCGCTTCCTTAGAGTAGTGAGGTAAAACGTTTAAGGCTTTACCTTTCAAATAGTAAAATGTAGCTCTGTGGGCCTTCACCACCAGGTCTGCATTGTATGCTCGTTAATCAACTGACAATGTAATTTGGTACACACCTTGATGTTCGTTTAACAATGCCAATGTATCGTCTAACACCTTCTGCACTGCCTGATTTTTGTGCTTTGCTTCGTCGATTGAACGATTCTCAAAGTAATGATCACGGAATCTGTATAACGCCTCCACTTTATCCTGTAATCAGTGTCAATTAGTCCAATATTGAATTTGTGGGCGCTGTTTAATTGAACACCTGTTTCAATTAGGTCACTTACGTTTAACATTTTTAAAGTATCATCAACGTTCACATGAATCCTTAGAGATGCCATGTCGTTCTCATCTAAAGAAGTGCACATTTTTTAAATAAAATTATTGTAAAATACTTATATCTAAATTCTTAAAACTAAAAACAAATTTGAGGTTATCTTTCAATGTAGTTAACATTGGTAGTGTCTCTGCAGCTGGCTGCGGGAGTTACGTCAAATGCAATGGTTGCATTCGCAAATTCCTAGTACTAGCCGGTATAGCTTAATTTGGCTCTTAAATCAAAACATATTGGATTTCTGTATGTTTGATGGTTTCCGAAAAACAACAGTTGACAAATTTGTTGCACTTTGGTAACTTTGAGTGTGCTACTAAAAACAACTGATTAATTTCTGTTCAACTCCGACCTGCGCCATTGGTTACAGATGAAAACATTTTTGTCAAAATCAGTGACTGATCACGGATTACCCAAAAGGTACAATAGACCACAGCCTAAAGGTCCAAACGTTTGTGGGAGCCAAAGCGATATTATCGTAATGAAAATGCTCCAGGGGTTCACAAAGGCACAGAAATTAATATAGTTTAGTGACCGTTGTTGGATTAATCCGCCTCTGAGGACGAAAGAAATCAAAATCAAAGTTGTGTTAGAGAATTGGATAAGGTTTCAACTGACTTTTCAGGCGACCAACCATTAAAAGTCAAATGTAAGATTTGAAGGCCTGTAGTAGAGTTTGCTATTCCAAATGCAGTGGTGCCTGGTCTTTATCTGTAAATTTTAGTTCTTTAATTGATTGACCATATAAGAAGCTAAGAAGGCAATCCGAACTTTTTACGATTTTTCCATAACTTTTAAAACTCTTTTCCGGGCATTATAGTAGGCTTTTCCATGGTCTGTAACCGTCAATAATTGTTTTGCCTGAAGGGGAGCATCAAATCCGTACTTTAAGAGACTGTGGAAGACACTAAAAGGCAATCTGAAACCCTCTCGTCTCCCAAACATCTACCGTAACTTCATACCTCCATCTCTAAGCCTTCCTAGAGCTGTTTGGATATTTCCAAACGCATTTGGACCTTTACGATGCGATTTTATAATTTTTAGACGTTTTCTAAGGTTTTTTGGGCTCGTTATAAGTCCCTTCCAAGAACTGTACAACGAGCGTACATATAAAAACAACCTCAAAATGGCTTTAAAAATGTAAAAACTCATAAGGCATCTATGCAGCGTACTAGAAAATTACATTTTTCCCATTTTTCCGGTTTCCCGAATTCAAAAATAATTAATGAAGTCATGCGCAGATGCAGAAATTTTCAAGCTACAGGAAACCTATTTCCAACTTAGCTCTAAATTCATTATGGGAGAAAATAATTCTGTATAAAGAAATCCCTATGGTGCGTAAACCGTTTCGACACTATGCATATGCTCTGAAAGTAATCTAATAGGTTCGGGAAGAGTTCTAAAAGGATTTAAACGTGCTTTAGAGTGCAACATCATTCGAAGTTTTTTTAGAGCTTTATAGACGTTTTACCGAGTTTTATAAACTTACATTTCTCATCTGCCAGATCACTTTAGGTTCTCTGGAAAGCTTTTTTTCCAGTTTTTTTCAAGAACACACCAGACAAAACCTTTACTAGAAATATTCAATATTGTTCCAGGGTCTAGCTCTAGCCCGTCTAGCTCTGACAAGAGCATAGAAAGAATAAAGTGCGCTTATGCTTTTTAACAATGAACGATATACAAAAAGTACCTACTATATTCCACTGTACGAACGGCGCCCCTGTACATATAAGTTCGCGGCAAAATACGCATCGATACGGTAGCCACTACCATCACCTAAATAGATGGCGCAATCTGTGGCTAGCTTTCATTCAAAAATCAATCGTCGTTAACAACCGCGCGTTTAGATGGCGCGTTTTATAAAGTAAGAAACCGAAAAATCTAGCAGTTCAGCTGGACGAGTTGGCGCAGTGTCGTTGCGCAGAAGGTTGTTCGTGGTGCAGTGCATTGTTATTATTACAAAGGGTAATCTTCGAGCTACGAAGGTGTAACTGTTTTGAAAAAGTGTTGTTATTAAATAAAACGTGCTTCTCGATTATCGTAGTCATGTTTCGGGAGGGATATATAATGGAGTTTTAAGAAATAAGTGCACCTGCAGCCTCGAATACGAGGAGTATACGATGGAGTAGTGTTTTTAGTGTCCTACATTATTTTTGCTCAAAATAGTGCCGCCTCTGATTACCTGGATATCTATTAGGGTACAACAATGACAGTGAGAAACATCCCTGCAGATAAGGTGAGTTTTATTCTTAACCGCACCCTTCCTGTTGGAAATGTGGTTGCGAAGACATACGGCGACCTACTTCTTTACCCCACATATTTTTTCTAAATCTGCACAAATGTTTATAACTAATGCGGGTGATAAGAGCGATTAACGCATCTTCGTGGTAGCAATTGATAATCAATTCGGCACGTAACCGCCTGCGATTTCACAAGTGCCTCGTTTCTTTAAAGCAAGTTTTCATTTATCCGAAACATTTAAAAATAAAATTGTGTTATTGTCAACGAACTGCATGATTCACCTCCGAAGAGGTTGTTACCCCCCTCCGTTCAATTACCATGAAATACTGTTATTGCTGTACTTCCCACAATTTGATTGTTTTTATTATTGTTGTCGGACGTTCCACGGGATTTTAGTACGACGGTTTCCAGGAATGTTTTTAAATTTTTTAAACGAAAGGCGCCGAGCGAATTAAAATTTCAATTTACAGAATCCAGTATATAATGAAAAACCTCGTCGAAACCCTTGTGTAATGAGAAGTTTGCCTGATTCCAAGTCTTTTATTATTAAATTTTCTCTGATGTATTTTAGATAATTTGCTGTCTTTTTGTTTGACCCGAGCGAGACCCGAGGTTTGACCATTTTGATAGGACATTTCATTTATTAAAAAATGCTAAAAGTTTTAAATATACGAGCGTGTTTTTTTTTAAATATTTTACCTAACTGTGAAGGAATCCGTACAAAGGGCCCAAAAAATGTATGTTAGCACTATGCCACCAAAAATTAGTTGTTGCCGAGATACCTTTGCAATTTTTGTTTCCATGGGAAATCGTATTTAATTTCAAGATCCAAAGGCGATTTTCAGCAACTCATTTTTGATCGCCCGTTATACCGCTTTCATTCATTTGTTTGCAATAAGTCGAGGGGGTAATACATGAGCAAAATGTTGTACGAAAGACTACCACAGACTACCATAGGACTACCAGTGACTACAAGAGACTACCCCATGAATACCAGAGACTACCAATTATCTTCTTCATTTTCAAAATCGTTTTCATTTAATTGAAGTATGTCATTTTGTAAAATGCAAATGTTGTGTAAAACACAACATGCTACAATAGTTTTTGGGATCCATTGTTGTAGACGAATATCCAGTATAAATACTAGTGACTACCAATGAATACCAGAGACTTCCATATGAATACCAGAGACTACCACATGAATACCAGTGAAAGTCCATCTTTAAAAATTATAATAACCGCCTAAATCTGAATTACTACTTAAGGCAAAGTGGTGTGCGTACCTACATAACAATAACGTGTTTTTCGGATAATTCGGGTAAACCGGCGGCGGCATGCGCATTAATCAGTTGTACAGGGTGAATCGAGGGGTGAGTCAACGATTGCGCGGAGTAACTTAATGCTTTGAAGATAAGATTTTTCGATAGAATACTTTTGCATTATGGTATGGTTGAATATTCTCCACATTTTAAAAATATTTGGGATTATACAGGGTGCACCCACAAAGTAGGGCGCCCAAATGGTACATTTTTTTTAATAGAATCCCCTGCATTTTTGAATTCTACGTGTAATTGTACGTCTTTTTTATTATATGGTTAATATCCGAAAAGCTAGTAGTCTTAAAGATAATTCGATTTTTAAGAAAAATTGGGCATTTGCAAGCGTCAGTATATTGTCAAAATTATTACTTAAATTTTGATTCCAGGTTTTATATCTTATCTTGGGTTAAGTAAAAGTCAAATAAATACATCTACTATGAAACATTAAAAATGCAACTTACAGGGTGTTTCCAAAGTTGCAAAACTTCATATTAAAAAAATCTCACTTTTTTAAATGGAACGCCCTGTATATTTTTCTGTCATCATTTAGCTCCTCTAAAAACCTTTAAGTTTTGATAATAATGTCCTAGACCTATCTCTGATAGTTTTCGAAATATCTTGGTTTTCCTGGGTTTTATATTCTAATCTTAAATCAAATTAAAAAGTTATATGTAATTTACATAATAGTGAGGTGGCCATCCAAAAAACGGCAATTTTTATCTGCCTCGTTCAAAGCTAAAATCATATTTATTAATTCATTTTTCTAATAGTTCATTTAGAGAATAAATTTGATAGTAAAAACCTCGGTAAAAACAAACAAATATCTTGATTTTTCTACTTTTTATATTTTAATCTGAAATAAGTTCTAATTTACATAACAACGAGTTGAATATGAAAAAAAAATTAAACCAATATCAATATCACTGACTGGATGACATTAGGAGTTAAATTAAATTTGCTTTGTAGTCAAATGTTTTTACTTATTCTCCAGTTTTTGGACTTAAAATAAATTGTTTGAAAAATAAATTAATCGATATGATTTTCGTTTTGGACGAGATAGATCAAAATTGCCTTTTTTGCATCTCCACCTCACTATTGTGTAAATTACATATAACTTATTTAAGAATAGAATATAAAACCCAGGAAAACCAAGATATTTCGAAAACTATCATAGATAGGTATAGGACATTATTATCCAAAGTTTAAGGTTTTTGGAGGAGCTAAATGATGACAGAAAAATATACAGGGTGTTCCATTTAAAAAAGTGAGATTTTTAATATGAAGTTTTGCCACTTTGAACTTTCCAGAAAAAACACCCTGTAAGTTGTATTTTTAATATTTCATAGTAGCTGTATTTATTTGACTTTTACTTAACCCAAGATAAGATATAAAACCTGGAATCAAAATTTAAGTAATAATTTTGACAATATACTGACGCTTGCAAATGCCCGACAAATGCCCAATTTTTCTTGAAAATCGAATTATCTTTAAGACTACTAGCTTTTCGGATATTAACCATATAATAAAAAAGACGTACAATTACACGTAGCATTCAAAAATGCAG